CACGAATCACAGCCTTTGAACACACACTCAACCCTAACTCCACTCCTCAGGCTTTCCAACTGAGGAATAAGCACGTAGCACTTTGTGAAGGAGAAGATGGCAGAAGCCAGGGCACTATCTCCTGCAGCCCACCGCTGCCGCAGGACCCTCGGGGGACCCCCCGCTCCAGCACCAGGCAAGTCCCGCACCCGCTGAGGCAGTTCCCAGCCCACTGCGCGCTCAACTGAGGTGGCACAACCAAGTGTCTGTCCACCTCCTCCCCTGCTCCGCTTCCTTGGCAGCTTCCTCACCACCTCTCTCCTCACACAGCTCTCAGCAATACTTTATTTTCACTGCTGCTGCCAACCGTGACATCCGCTCATCTTGTACGCTCACATCTCGGACCAGGTAGCGCAACCTGAACTCCGCTTTCAATCTCGAGTCGTGTTTTCGCCTGGCAGAGACAACAGAAAGTCATTTGGACACCCAGTATGACCTCTCAGGCCACACAGGCTTCTCGCTACCTACACCTGAAGAGAGTTACGGTAGGACCTGCACAAAAACAGTGCCTTAAGCGCAGTGCCCCCTCTCCTGGCTGCTGGCAAGCAATGCACGCATGGGCCACCCCAAGCCATGGCCTTCCTTTCAAACTCCCCTAGGAAGGACAGGGAAAACCCACCACTGGCACTTCAGCCAGCAGCAAAGAGGCTACTGCAGGCTCCGGCAGAAAAGGAGCAAGACGGTGTCTGTAAAACTGCCTGGGAATCAAGCTCCAACCGAGCCTGGGCCTGACGCAGGCCGAGATGACGATACCGCTTGAGCGGCGAGCACAGTGCCAAGCTTCCACTTCACTGACCCTCAGGCACAGCAGAAGTACCCTAGCGCTGAGGAGATTGATTCATGCACACATGGTCAGAAGGCTCGAAGAACTGGATAACAGCCTGTTACACCAGTAACACGTCCGTAACACGTCCATGCCACTCCAGCCCAGACGCAGTATGCCAGCCTCCCCACAGCAACGTGCGCATGGTGTTAATGGTTCACACCCTCCTGCTGACACCACGGTTCGCACATCCTGCTGACCAGCCTTCACAACAAAGGCCATCAGGCTGCTCCCGCACCCAAAAGGCCCCTGGAGCCAGCTGTAAGAAGCAGCTCTCCGTCAGCAACACGGTGTTGGAAGATGCAACTCAAGGCAAGTACCCAGACGGTCACCACCCAGGAGACACTTCCAAGGGAAGCCCAAACTGGCACAACTCCTTTCAAAAGCAGCATCTGCTCACCCCAGACTTGAATCCCACTGCCTTGTCAGCACAAAAGCACGTTACACCCACCAGTTTGGCGCCCGAAGCCGGTCTCACAAAGCAAACCCATCAGATGTAAGTGGAGGTGTGCATGGCCTCCCCGTCGCTCACTCCTGCGACACGCTAAAACCAAGGCCATCTGTTCGCCTGCCATCGCTTCTTGCACAAAGTCCCACTGATAATTCTGCTCAGCATTTAGTGCTTGGGCTGCCGTGAACTCTAGCGAAAGCGCTTCTGAGCAGGCAAGACCAGGAAGAGAGAGAAACGTGGGCTTAGAGCTGCACGCTCAGGCACATTCTGCAGGGCCAAGGTCAGGTAGGAGAGAAGGGTGGAAAGCAGGGAAAACTTACCTTCTTTTTGTGTTCTCAGATGTGTGGCGATCTCGAAGAGGCTCAGCAGCAAGGGTTTAATGGGACTGATCAAGGAAACCAGAGCGGTGTCTGAAAGGGGAATCTTTCAGCTCTGACAAGCAGTTATCAAGTACCCGAGCTCCGGCAGATGCAGCACAGCTGGGAAAATCTGCCTGACAGGTAAGTGTAACAAGAGGCTGCCTACAACCCAGAGGGCAAAACACTCTGAATAAAGGAGTGTCGTTACCTTCATTTGTCCAAAAAAACCTCAGGCAAGGGAGAGCTTTGAGTTGCCTCCTGCCAGGCAGAGGCAGAGCTAGATGAAAAAATAAAACCATGAACCCCTGAGCCATATGCTGTGCTATCAGACAATGTGTTTTATAAAAAGCACATGTGGGGACAGAAGCAGCTCTGTGTGAAGAAAGCACTCCCACTGTGCCTCTACTGAATTACATCACATCTCTGTTAAGCCACTGGTTCAACTGAAATTTTGAATGAAGCTGTTGTAATAGCTAGTCACCAAAAAATGGGTAGAAAAATCACAGATCAAGATCAGAAAGGCTCACGCTCCTAACTCAGTTCACTGTTTCTCTCATAAAAGTAATACATGGTGCTACAGAATGTCAGTTCTCACAGCATTCCTTGCTGCTGCCCCTCCTGGTTATTGTTGATCTGAATGACCCACCCCTTGCTTCCTGCTGGCAAATGCAACCAACCTCTTCATTCTGCTGACCAAAAATAAATCAGTGCCAGAGGACAAACTAAGACATTGTTTAGAGCAAAGGAGACCAAGAAACTGGAACGCTTTGTGAAAGGGTAATTTAGAGGTGAGAAAGTATGTGTGTGCTAGTTGCAGAGCTGTTTGTATAGAACTGGGTGTCAAACCTCCACAGCTGCCTCACCTGCTTAAAAAAAAAAATAAATAGAAGAGATAAAAAGAGCAGCCAAGAGTTTAGGGGACACTTAGGTGAGAAAAATTGTTCAGTTTCACTAATCACTCCAACAGGGATTCACCGGGAAGCTCGACTGACCAAGTCTTCTGCTGTGTCAGTGAATGTGCAGCTCCAAAGCTGTTCACTATCTAGGGAGGCTGTAGTTCTCCTGCAGAGGCGACTGCTAAAGGCCTGGCTGGACAAACCTCATCCTGAGATGGGTTAGATGGGGTTAATCATGGAGTATGTCAAGTTGGAAGGGACCCATAAGGATCGTCAGGTCCAACTCCTCGCTTCAGGAGAAGGATTAGGCCGGGTCAGCTCATACCTGTTTTCAAACACAGGCCATTAAAACCCAAACAAATAATCTTCTGTGAACACAAAACGATTCAGCATCTCAAATTCCACCTATTTTTACTTGATTGCCATGAAAACCATCATGGCAAAACTGTAAAAGGCTTCTACGGACTGCTTTGCAATAAACATCAGTAATCCTCCAGCTAAAAAGCTGAGACACATGCAGAGAAATGACACTTAAAAGTCCTTTTCAGATCTCTTCTGTATGGTTCTGGAATGAAAATTTATCATGCCATTCTGAAAACACACAAGTTCAAACTCCTCTAACTTACAGCTTGCTGCAGTGCAATCATAAAAGATGGTTGGTGTTCATAAAAAGTACAGATCGCTCTTTTGTTCTATTTCTGGACAGAAAAAATGCATTCCAGCCAGCAAAACAAAGAGAAAAAACCCATATTATCAAATACTGTAATTTAAAATAACCAAATACTGTAATTTAAAATTACAGGATCAGATTTTTAAGGGTCTTATGGGGTTTATTCCTAAACACTCAGGGTTACTAAAAGTGACATTGCCTACTTAGAAAAAGGCTACTCTCACTGAGGACTACTTCAGGGATTTTTTTCTCCCCACTCTGAAAGTAGCTGCACAAAATGTTGGCAAATGAGCAACTGCCTGCTTGGATTTGGCACTCAGCAGGAGACAAGAAAAATGTTCTTACAAATGTAGGAGAATGAGTCTGCATAGTCACCAAAACCAGTCCAGAAATTGATGAACTAGTGATTTTAGTTATAAACCAGCCAGATCTCAAAGCCACCATCTCATTAAAATAATGCTTTCAACTCAAAGATGTTTCTCATCACAGATGGACTTAAACTTGCTCCTCTGGCAGCTGAAGCCCTGAACACAGCTTTGATACTCTACACGAAGTCTATGCTACAGTGCTCAGAGAAGCAAGGTACGAGTAGAGACAGAGCCAATTCCCACCACCCCACATCATCCAGGTAACACGGAATCACCTCCATTATCTACCATGGCCACGCTCTCGCAGAGACCTGCACCTCCCAATCTGTGACTAATTTTTCTGCTGTGGGGCAATTAATAGACATTTTACATTATCAGTGTCCCCATACAAAATATTTATTCAACCTAAAAATCCAGAAATGGACGACAGACAAACGCTTCATGAACATGCATAGATTATGAGCCACGAAGTCATGAAGTGCAGCAGCATTAGACCTTGCACGTACGTGAAATACTTTTGTCAGGCACAGATTCCACTTAAGTCTCCCGTGGCAGGACGCTGGTCCTGTGCAGTGTGCGAAGCCAGCACGCTGTCCCTTCTCATCACGTCCAGAGGCAGAGCTTTCACTCCTCTGGCCAAGGAACGCCCACGCACTCCTTGCACGTGAGGTTTCTGGTTTCAAGTACGCAATATCCAGGTGCATCTGCAAGTCCAGTAACAACTCCCTCCAAGATCTGGATCTTGCCATCACCTCCCTGTGATTCCCACAGACGAGGAAGCGCTCAGTGCCATTACAACCTGGCTCCTCCACTTCAGTACTCTGCATGGTCCACCTTCTACTGATGCTCAGAAGCACCTGTAAGACGTCTAATACGTGCTTCCAGAGGACAGCCATCCTGATGACCACAGGAACAGAGCTCTACAAGCACATTTTTTTTTCCTCATCACTGGGGCTCTCCAAAGAATAGGGACTCTGGAAACAGCTGTTCCCAGGATGTTGGAATGGAAAGGGCAGGATGAATTACATAGAATTACACCTTTTTCCAAACAGATTCCATACCGTAAATAGTAATTTTGAAGATAAAGAATAATAAATATTAATTATCCTTTTAGAAAATCCTCTCATACCCTTTCAGCCACCTAGCAAACACTTGAACTGCAAATCCTCAGGAGTGGTACGAGTAAGCTGTAAAGCTACGCAGTGACGTGATCCATTTTTCATAGCCTTGCCGTCTGCCTTAAATATTTGCACTGGTATCATCTGAAGATGTTAAAAAGAAGAATTCCCATTAATGAACAGGGAGCCTGTCCTTCCCCAAAGCTGATCCATCTCTTCTGTGACAGACAGACTGTAAATAGTGTTCCCCACTGCAGCTGCATTTTCTTCAGGCTTTTAACCATCTACATCTGCGAACTTTCTTTTCCCATAATTCTGTACCAGATTGGAGGCTGTGATTTGAGAAGCCTGTCCCTTCTCCCAACACTGGAAGTCATTCAGTCCTTTCTGGCCAGCTTGAAATAAAGCTCGCTCCAGTTCATCCAGCCGAGCCACCAGTGCTGATGTGTCTTCGTTATAGGCGTTCTGAGAGGAGTCCATGATGCGGCGAAAACGGTTAATAAATGTCTAAAGAAAAGAAGCAGAATTACTGACAGGTAACACAGAGGCTTCTTCAACTCAAATGCTAGGAGCCTGAGCCTTCAAGACAGAGGTGTAGGTTCCAGTTCACAACTAGTCATGGGTCTGCAAACAGTGTGGCACCTATTAAGCTTGGATACAACAACAAACCATTTCCTGCCTGAGCTGAGAGAGCAAGTGACTGATACATGGGATGGGAAGCGAGCATGGAATTAGATTCTGGCTGCTTCCTATTGACAGGCCTGAGCAGACCACAGAGTATAACACAACTACCATCTACTCCATCTCGCTTCACAAGCGACTGTTGCTTTAGAGCGGGTGGAATCAACCTCGTGCCGCAGCAGCTGCTGTAGGAACCTACAAGCTGCAGCTGTGGATATTTAACCACAACCCGCCACTGCAAAGCACTCAGTATGCTAGAAAAATACTTAAAAAGTGGAAAAAAAGTCAAAAAAAACCCAAACCTACAACTAATAAATAACATTTTAAAAAGCTAAGCAATGAGAGATATTTAAAGATTTTTATTTCTCTCCTTAACGTTGCTTCTGGGAATAGAAAAAGGGTCAAAACTCTTTGAAAACTGTTATTTCAGAGGCTGATTTTAGAATCATCAGAACTGTAGTATTTTAGTGATTTAGTTATAGAATAAATATATTATAAATTAATTAACCCTCATTTTGGCTTTGTCACTGAATACTTATACTTTGCATTTATAGCTCCTGAATATTTGGGAGAAGGCATTTTTTTGTGTGTTTTGTTTATTTTTAAGTGAGCACAACTCCCCTGTTGTTAGCTTCTAATAAAGAGTGGCTTTTTTCCTAAAATGTCATTTGGCAGAAAGAGAAAAGATAAGGAAAGGTGTGGTCACCTTCCCAGCACAGAAACAAGCTTTCAGTGGACAACTCCAAGAAAGCAGCAGTACTTTAAAGCCTCTCTTCATCAGCCTTCATTTAAATAGAGAAAGAAAAAAAAATAAGTAAAAAGGCCAATAGCAATCATCCCAGACTACTTAGAGAGTTGGCTGAAGGGGTCTCAGAGCTGTTAGTGGTTATCTTTAAAAGCTCAAGGAGCACAGAAGTCCGGAAACTGGCAAAAATGTTCTCTTGTCTTTTTTAAAGGAATGAAAGTGGAGATGGAGAAGAAGGAAGAGCCAGGGAATTATAAATCCACCAGTATCAATTCCTGGAAACACACTGGAACAAATAAACTATACATAAGCTTCTGCAAGATAATAGGGGGAAGAGTACCAGGCAACACAGACATGCAAGAACAAACCTGGAGAGACCAGCCTACTCTCCTACTACAGCAGGATGCTAGGCCTTACAGTGGGAGGAAAGGAAACGTCACTCTTGTGGAAAACAAGATGCTGCACCATGATGAGCAAAATTCAGAAAGCAGTGTTGCTGATTCATCAGCACGAGTCCTGAGCACAAGACTATATGCTGCTGTATCACAGTGGATGCAGATCAACCAAAAAGGTACCAGCAGCGCACAGGCAGAACAATCGGAGGTTAGAAGGCATGACCCAGAGATGCCAGATGAATTGGACTGCTGCTGGAAGGAAGACAGCAGTCCATCCTCAACGTTTACTTTGTACCAGAAAAACAGAACGAAGCTTGTGCTGCTGCAAAGGAGCTTTAATTTAGGTACCACAGGAAACCTTCTAAGATTGGGATAGCAAAGCACTGAAACAGATTGCCCACAGCAGTGTGAAGTCTCATCATTACAGAGCTTTAAAAACAGGGTAGAAAAATAGAAATAATACAGGGTGAATTAATTCTGCCTTGCAGCACAGGTGCAATTAAATCATCTTACCGTCTCCTCTAGTCCAATTTTACAGAATACTGTATTTACAGTGTAGAAACTCCAAGTTAAAATGACACTCCTGGACGCATTCTTGAGGCTTCTACCGCTAGATCATGCGGTGGCCAAAAGGGTCATCCTACAGCCTGACTAGAAATTCATATTCAATCCAGAATTCATTTGGATTAAAACAGGGTACTTTTCCTGGAGACTGCTGAGCAGCTACAAGCAAGAGGATGATGGAAAAACCTTATTTTAAGACACAGTTCAGATACTTGCCTGCAGGATAGTCTGAGCTATCTCAGGATTCTCCGGATTGTCAAAATTCAGGAGCTGGGAGCCAAATCCATAGTAGTATGGCCCCATTTTATGCAGATCAACCACATTGGCATCAGCGCTGAACACTGTCCTCCAGGCTTCCTTGTAAATCTTGGGCAGTTCCACAGAAATGATTCTTCTTTTGCTGTCATGCAGACCTTTAGCAAGCCACAGAGGTATTTCCAGCTTTGATCCCTGCATGAATGAGAAAAAAACCCAAAAGTTGTCCTTGCCATGAAAACACATGGAAAGCAACCCCAAAGGTAGATGGTGAACTTTAATAATGAAGCCCCAGTAGTAGAAAGAGTCAATTTTGTTTTCAGAACGGTCTAATTGTAATATACAACAGACACACTTTAGAGGCGTTATTACTGCAAGATTCTGAAAGTGGATTTTCAAAATTGATGTTGTGTAGTCTAACAACTGCCAGATTATTAAACACCAGAAGGAAAAAAACCCCAAACACTTGCAAAGTGCACACAAAAGTAAAAGTAACTTTTATAAAAAAGCAGGGAGAAACCTAAATTTCCTTGCAGCGACCCCAGAACTGAAGGCTCACTGGGGCCTGGGGCGGGAGAGGGGGACGGCGGCGCGCCCACGGCCCCCAGAGCCCTCCACGGAAGAGAGTCCACCGGCGACCCACT